AGTTGGACATGGGTCATCATTAATCCACGGAGGCAACAGTGTGCTATTCCTTCTGTGTGATCTCTTTTTCAATGAGATTTCGATTTTCTATAAAGGAAAGAGAATTGTGCAGAGGCAGGCTAAGGAGAAAGGCTGCTGGAACTTCCGTGGCAAAAACCAGCCACTGAGGAAGGGGTGGCAGTTGCAGAAGCCAGGGAGGGAGGCAGCAATGACATGTTCGCACAGCCAGGGGTGGTCAAGCACGTCGCCCTCACGAAGCACAGCTGCAGGCACCCGGGAGATTGGCGGGTGACCCCAGGGAGTGTGCACTTTATCACCGATACCAGTGCAGAGGGCCAAGCATGACTCTGGACGTGCCTGGGCCACAGCTGGCCGGGAGGTGGGCAGGCAGCCTGGGAAATGTAAACAACATCCTCACTATCCTGGCTGGAGAAAAAAGGACTTTGAAAACAGCTAAGAAAGCAGAAGCAATTCAGCTCATAGCACTACAGGGAGGAAATAAACAAAAACCTCCACGTGTCTGTGAGAAGGACTTGCACAAGCAGATAGGAAACCACAAAAATTCAGACTGGGTCCGAGGCAGGGCCGCGTCACTGGCCTGAGGTGACCACAGGAGGAGTCTGACCCGGGAAGGAGTGGTAGGGGGGTCTGGGGCAGCAGAAACAAAGGGAGCCTCAAGCGGTGACCTGAATTCCAGGCAGACAGGTGTCCCCGTGACCCTGTGGGCCCCTCACAGCGGCCATCTCTCCTTCCCACCTTATCTCCACTCCGGGAGATCCTAGTCTAGCATGGTACCTCAAGCACAGCCAGTGTCCTACACGTTCAAAAGGGAGGAGCCCCCCTGCAGAGAACGTCCCTCTGTGTTTTCCTGCAGATTATTCTTGCATCTCACCCAAACACAGGTAAGAAATTACAGAAAATGAGGACTGAATAGAGAGACACTCAGTTCTCAGAACAGAAATGAAGCCTTTCAGAAGAGGTTGGGAACAAGGTCAAAGGAGCTAGATCTTTGGGTGTGAAGGTGCTCTGAGACATTTTTCTTTCCCCCAATTCCCTTCTCTCTCCTCTGCCATTTTGAGTTGGAACAGCAAGGACAGTGTGTATGATGTGTGATAACCCACCTTCCTGTTACAGCAGCCACAACAGGAGAGGTCCCAGCAGGCTCGAAGCAGGTTTGTCTCACAGCCAGACTTGGACCCCTTTCCCAAGAGAGCACACCGCCTCTGTGTCTCCAGGACAGACACGCTGTCAGCCACCAGCAGGGTGATGAGAAGGAGGTCAGCCTCCTCTCCTGCCTTCTCACTCGTTTTCATCCACAAACAGCTGCTGAGCCCCCAGCTCTGAGAGCAACTTTGAGTTGGGTGCGTATCGTCCCTCACTCTCTGGGCCACAAACATCTCCTGACCTGAGACGCACCCTAAAGATGGCACATGGGGCGACCTGTCACACAGCCTCACGACAGCGGTGTGGGGCATCCCTGTCACGCAGCCTCACGACGGCCGTGTGGGGCGTCCCTGTCACGCAGCCTCACGACGGC